GTCGTTTTTGGCATAGTACTTGCAATCCTTTACCTTGTCGCGCAATGTTTTGCGCTCCTTTTTCAGCACCTTCTTCTGCTGCTCGCGCTCAATGCGTATCTGCTCGATGCGCTTCTGCTCGGCCTTATCAGCCTTCTCTTTGGCCAGCGCCGCTTCGCGCACCGCTCGCTCCTGTTCGGCCTTTTGGGCCTGAGCAGCATCCATTTTGGCGCGCTTGGCTGCCGCCTTGCGATCCTTCTCCTCCTGCTTGAACCTTTGAATGCGTTTGTCATTGTTGTAGGCCAAATCGACCAGGGCACGAATGCGGGTCATTTCTTCCTTCTTACGCTTGATGCGCGCCGCTTTGTTCTCTTTCTCGATCCAACGACGCTCGTCGCGATCCTGACCCTTCTCCTTGTCCTCCTCGTCCAGGTAGCTGAACTCGCGCCATGATTTGAAATCGTACCAGAAATTGTAAAAACGTTCCACCTCCTCACGTTTGGCATCCACCTCGCCAAATGGCGGCACATTTGACTTTTCGCTCCAGCGAGCATTCAAATTAAAATACTTATTAAACGAGTCAAAATAGTTACTCTCGATATCCGTTTGTGTGGGAAAAGCGTCGTCAAACTCGGGATCCACTGAGTCGTAGCTACGGCGCGTCTTTGAAGTGCCTGCAATAGATATTTATAAATACGGATATTAAACATATTGACAGCAAATTAGATCCAATTTATTTTCGCTGTTGTGATCTTAGAATAAGAATTTAATCGAATTCGATTAAGTGTAAAGGCTGAAGCTGACGTAAGAATTGTTTTAAGATATTAACAAGCAAATAGAGAATTCTGACGTAACATGGTCTAACAACAAATTTATCCGAAGCTGAAATACCCTAACTAGCAGAAACCTGATGTGTGATTTATTATTCATTAATATAGCTTTAAGATTGGACGGGCATGGTTCATCTGTTCACACTATATCAATTTATAATGAAACTTTAGTGTCTGCATTACTTGAGACTTCAAATTAACCATTTCAATATATCGAGATACAACAAATTAGGATCTTTCGATCTGCTGATCCGCTCTCATCTCTGGTAGCTAGTAAAACCTTCACGAAGACACGTCACAAAAACTGATTAATATAAATAACTAAGAAGTGATTTGAGATTTGCAAATAATAGTGATTTATATATACTATATCTTCCAACCTTGAACGAAAAACAAAACAACTATCTAAAGGCAATTCGATATCGACTACCTACCGAGTATTTCGTAGGCCTTTGTTATGCATGTGAAGTAGTCGTCGTCGGTAATAACCTCCTCGCCTTTGGCTTTCCGCTTGTCCGGATGATGCAGCAGCACCATCCGTCTGTAGGCCCGCCGAATATCATCATCGCTGGCTTCGTATCTGTGTGTAAAAAACGCGCAGTTAATACACGTGCACACGCACAAATACACACACACACACACACACTTGCTGGCGCAACACACACACACACGCAGCACGCACACGCGCGCGCACACACAGAAAGCTAAATAGAAACGCACCTCAATTTGCCAAGGCCGAGAACACTGTAGTGATCCTGATCCTTCCATTCCTTGGGATCAAGTGATTTGAGGTAGCTAATGTCGACATCCTCGCCAGCGCCCGCCAATTTCTCATCGGAATCGCTGCGCTCGACGCCGCTCGAATCGCCAATTTGGCGGCGTGCGTTAAAATATGCGCAACCAACGCGTTCGATTTTATGACGCGCTACCTTCAGTGCTGAGCACTCCAACTCTAGGCTGTTAGTCATTATTGGTGTGTGGGTGTGTATTGTGTAGCAAAAACTAATTGCTTCAAATTACATAAAGCACACTGCACTACCTCGAATTTTGTTTAGAAAACCCGAAAAGTGTGTAATTAATTCACTTCACTACCGCATGCTAGAGCTCAGTGTAGGCAAGCGACAAAAAAGGCATAGTTAAGTCCGATTGTCATTAAAATCGATAGGCACAAGGCTGAAAAGTCTTTTCCAACACCAATTTGGACGTCTGTCCACTGTGATAGCTGTATGTGGTGGCAGGTCGATTATTCAAATATAGAAACGAGCGACTCCAAATAAATCCAGTGACTTTTCGATGTGTGGAGAATTAAGACTTGAAGTAATTTATTGTTTCATTAAAACCTGTTCTTACTCCTTTTGTAAGAAAATAAATATCAAACTGCGTGTCCTCTATACAAAAACTACTTACAGAATTAACAATATACTAATACTTTTAGCTGAAGCGGGTTTTTTACAATGAGATACGATAGTTCCTTTTAAAAGAATGATATTATCGATAACATTTCCAATAAAATTTCCACTCTTAGCGATTCAGGAGTGCCCCAGCGTTTTATATACATTAAGTAAATAAAAAATGCTGCTAAAAGAGAATCTCTGTCCAACATGAGCAAATCTCAGGAGAGGAGTACGAGCTCCGCTATCTCCACACCCAACAAGGCTGGCGACGACCTTCACAATGTATCGGACACCTTCTACACCAGTCAGCGCAAAGGAAGCCACGTATTTCGAGTGCGCCTGGACGCCACAGGATTCACCCTGCAACGCGAGTCGCCCAGCGGAGTCATCATCAAGGAGCAGACGGTTAAAATATGTGATATCGTTGGAGCACGCTGCATGCGCATGAAGAAGTCGCCACGCAATCTGGGCAGATGTGCCTGCGTCAATCCTGGTACTCCAGCAGGTGCGGCCAACCGCAAGGGCGGCACGCCCAGCAAGTGCAGCCCCGCCAGCAAGGAAGAGACTGGTTGCGACGTGGGCGATGGCAGTGCCTATTTGTATTTGTTTGCCTACGTGCTCAAAAAGAAAAGCTTGCGTAGCAGCCTGCACAGGGAGAGGACTGTGCTCACTCTGCGCTTTCGTTCCTTCGATACGTTTGAGGACAACATGCGTGAGGCGGATCGCTGGTATCGCGCTCTACGCTGGCAGCTGCATCAAACACTGGAGGACATATTTGTGGAGCGCACCGGCGAGGCTCGTCGTCGCCGCGTCCTGGTGCTGCTCAATCCCAAATCCGGCTCGGGAAATGCACGCGAGGTGTTCAACATGCATGTTGCACCCGTGCTCAACGAGGCCGAGGTACCCTATGATCTGTATGCAACGAAGCATTCCAACTACGCAATCGAATTTATGAGCACTCGTCGCCTGGACGACTGGTGCACTATAATAGCCGTTGGCGGCGATGGACTTTTTCACGAGATAGTTAACGGACTGCTGCGCCGGGCAGATTGGGCCCAAGTCCTGGACAACATTGCATTGGCCATTATTCCCTGTGGCTCTGGCAATGGGCTGGCACGTTCCATAGCGCACGGCTTTAAGTGAGTTGCCTCTTGACGGCGTGCTCTATGCAATAACTGATTCGTACCTGTTTGCAGTGAACCATATTTTAGTAATCCTGTACTGGGTGCCGCTCTAACCGCCATCAGCGGCCGCAGCTCGCCCATGGATGCGGTGCGTGTGGAGCTACAGAATCGTGTTATGTTTTCGTTTCTTTCTATTGGTTGGGGCCTCATCTCGGACGTGGATATAGAGAGTGAGTGCATACGAATGTTTGGCTATCAACGCTTCACCATTTGGACGCTGTACCGCCTGGCCAATTTGCGCACTTACAATGGGAAAATCAGTTATCTACTAGCGGATGAGACGCAGGAGCCACAGTCTATGCTGTTGCCGCAATCGGAACAGTTGCGAAAGATGCAGTCCAGTCGCAGCTGCAATGTGCATATCGATAAGCTGTCCACTGCCAGCTGTCACCGTTCTTCGGAATATTTGCCACAAGAGTTCGAGGATGTTATCTCTTTGGAAACGTCCATCAATCAGTCGTTTCGCTCGCGTTGCGACAGCTGGCTATCCGGTGGATCGCGTCGCAGCTGCTATTATTCCATATCAGAGAGTGTCTATCACAGTTTGGCCGATGAGAGCGAGTTTGCGGATCTGTCGGCTGCAGCTGCAACTGGATTGGAGCAGAACCAGCATAACTTCGGCCCAAGTAGCATCCTACCGTCGCTGAACGAACCGTTGCCCGAAGCCGCCGGCTGGCTGGTCGAGGAGGGAGAATTTATCATGATGCATGCCGTTTATCAGTCACATCTCGGCGTGGATTGCCACTTTGCACCCAAAGCGCAACTGAACGATGGCAAAATATTTTTGGTTTTAATACGCGGCGGCATTAGCCGTCCGCATCTGCTCAGCTTTTTATATAACATGAGCACCGGCACTCACCTGCCCGAGAAGAACAATGAATATGTGAAGGTGCTGCAGGTGCGTGCGTTCCGTTTGGAACCGCACGACAATCACGGCATCATCACAGTGGATGGTGAGCAGATTGAGTTTGGTCCACTCCAGGCGGAAATACTGCCAGGCATTTCGCGTGTCATGGTACCAAAATGAGGATTGGCCAAGGGAACGCATAGAATCTCAAGCAACGAGCGTACATTCGAGCAATAATTAATCAATAATGAGAATCTCTGCATTTGTATATGTAGGTGTAGGATATTCTGTTGTTAGGTTTTGGCCCTGTCGGCAGATGCATGCAATATTGTGTTATTTTTATATTAATGCTGCAACGGATTTTGTAATTTTCCTGTTAACATTTATCATAATTATTGCAGTTATTAACAAAATATATATATATGTCTATATATATATCAGCAACGTTGACAAGATAAGACCATTCTTTTTTATTTATCAAGATAATCCCTTAGAGCGGGAGTCCTTATTGAAGGATAAGGATAATTGTATCCAATTAAAAATGTACAATATATATATTAAACATATATATACTGGTTGCTAGGCTATGGCAATAACTCTTTAGCTTGCCCTCGTATCGATTTTATTGGCTATTACGCGAACCATCAAAATAAAGTGCGGATCCAAATCGGATGTTAATAGGCCAAACGAAAAGTAAGCTGTTTATTTGCATTTGAAAAGTAACAGCTGTTATTTGTCAAGCAAAAGCAACCCTGCTAAATGACTTATTATCGATAGCTTAATTGAAGCGCAGTAGAAAAAGTTTGTGAAAAAATAGTTTGTGTGGAAGAAAATTAGATAGTGCGGCAGATAAAACGCTGGATAGCTTGTGCATTCGCAAACAATTGAATTCCTTATCCATTGACAATTACGAAGAACAAGAATCCGTTTCCGACCAAAGCCACCGTTAGTTAAATAAGAGTAACAATATGTCAGCTGAAGAGCTGGCGCCAATCAACGAGCAGGACCTGAAGGACCTGAAAGAGCGCATGAAACTTATTGCTGACGCAGACCCAACTCAATATCACAATGAGTTCTCGTTGCGGCGTTATCTAAGGGCCTTCAAGACCACAGATGACGCATTCCAAGTGAGTCGCTTCCGTTAATGCGCCCACATCTTGACATTGACTATTTATACTTATTAATATTGCCACCCACTCATATAGGCCATATTAAAGACGAACAAGTGGCGTGAGTCGTATGGCGTGGCCAAGCTCAATGAAATGGAGCGCAGCCACTTGGAGAACAAGGCGCGTCTGTTGCGGCATCGCGACTGCGTTGGTCGCCCTGTCATCTACATTCCGGCCAAGAATCACAGTTCTTCGGCGCGCGATATTGATGAGCTGACGCGGTTCATTGTCTACAATCTGGAGGAGGCATGCAAAAAGTGTTTTGAGGAGGTCACAGATCGTTTGTGCATTGTATTTGATTTGGCTGAGTTTAGCACCTCGTGCATGGACTATCAGCTGGTGCAGAATCTTATCTGGCTGCTCGGCAAACATTATCCAGAGCGATTGGGCGTATGCCTAATTATAAATGCGCCTGGCATATTCTCCACCATTTGGCCAGCCATTCGCATGCTGCTCGACGATAACACCGCCAAAAAGGTGAAGTTTGTCAGCAACGAGGTAGACCTATGTCAATATTTAATACCGGATATACTCCCAACGGATATGTAAAGAATTTCGCCGCTCTCCTTAAAGTTAGTTGTAGTCATACATATCTCCATACGAGGCACTATTGACATTATTATACTGCAGCGCGAGACAACGTGTACCTATTAGAAACCAGTACCTAATCAACTGTATTTAAAATCTGTGCAGGAGGCTTACAAAAGCTTTTAAATAGGTTGTAGTCTACACATACATACTATTATTGTTTACAAATGAATGTCTTTAACTTGTAGCGTGGGTTGATTGTAATTGATTGTATTGTGCATATTATGAAATATTTTAGTCAAATATTTATCGATGCGTATTATTGCTTATATATAGAATATATATATATGTAAATGTATAAGTGAGTAATCACGTTAATATATGTCTATGTGTATAATAAAGTTGTAAAACCAAAGCCCATTATTGACAGGCGAACATGTGTGCCACACGCTGATAGAGCGTTCCACATTTAGCACTTTATCTCATCAAAAATGATAACGATTCAAAGAATTGGAAAGGTGTTATAGGTCGCAATTGACACAAACAAGCATTGATTACCGTTTTGAACGTTTATCACCTTAGCGCAAAAAATAGTGCTGCCGGATCGCGAAAAGAAATGCCGCCAAAAGTGTGGCAGCTCCCTATCGAATGCATCTCGAATCAAAAATTAAGATAAAAATTAAAAGTGAGAATATTAACATAAGCGTATAGAAATGATATTTGTTTAACGCCTATTCTTAAATGGCAGCTATTATGTGATTATTAAAAAATGCAGCGTCACACATTTTAATTTAAATACAAAGCATGCCAATGACGTCACATGCTTTCGTCGTATATTATTAGCTTTTTGAGTAAATTGCGGCACCTTCTCATTTATTTACTACGATGCATGGCACCAACTGGTTTAGTTTATTATCGAGAACTCGAGCAGTTGATAACGAATTGAAAGCAATATGAAACGACTGAACAATAGCAGCAACGCAAACACAGTTTGCCAGAGATCGGCATATAAATATTAGTAAAAAGCGAAGCGTGCGCCGAGCAGCAGCGCCAGCGGCAGCAGTAATATGACGGCAAAAACGGCATCTCACATAGCTGCGTTGGACGTTGGGACGACGTACTTGAGATGCTTTGTGCTTGATGAGAACTGCACGGTCAAGGGGTCAGCAGCTGATGCTGTCAGTTAATTGAGTGTTTCCGGGCATAGTTGAAGGTAATTAAAATGCGCTTTGTTCGCAGGTAGAGCTATTAAATCCCCAGCCGGGCTACTTTGAGATCGAGCCGGAGGGCTTGTGGCGCAAGATAATCAAGGTGATTACAGAATCAATACGCAGTAAGTGCTTGGTGCTATTAAATGACAAACTTGATTCGAATGCTAATCTCTAATCGTCGGCAGACGCTAGACTTACACCCGCGGATATTACATGCCTAACAATTTCAACACAACGCTGTACGTTCTTGACCTGGAATCACCAGACCAATGAGTACTACCACAACTTCATCACGTGGAAGGACTTGCGCGCCGATGCTCTCGTCGAGCAGTGGAATTCCAGCTGCTCGCTGCGTGCGATGAATGGATTTTTCTATGCTTTGTACATGGTAACCAGAAATGCTCGCTTTCTGGCCGGGAGCGTGCTCAAATTAATGAATGGTCAGGTGACGCCGCGTCTGCTCTACGAGATTGCGCACAACAAACGGCTGCAGCAGGCGTTGCGCGAAAAGAAGGCGCGTCTAGAGCTGCTTGATTCATGGATCCTGTACAAACTGCGCTCCGGCAATGGCCTGGATCCAGACGTAGAACATATCACTGATATAACCTCAAGCACTGCCACCGGTCTCTATGATCCATTCACGCTTAGCTGGTCGCCACTCGCTCGCTGGATGTTTGGAATCGATGTGAGTAAGGGTCACATTTTGTCAATAAATTTCATTCTCTAATTTCTCATTTCTACAGTCTAGCATTCTGCCACGCGTCGTTGACAATAGCTACAAGAACTTTGGACATGTGCACCCCGCTGCGTTTGGCCCGAGTTGGGGCGATACAAAAATACCAATTGCTGCTTCCCTTAGCGACCAGACGGCGGCCATGTGGGGCTCCCAGTGCTTTGCCACGGGCAATGTTAAGGTCACAATGGGCACGGGTGCATTTCTAAATCTTGTGACTGGCTTGGAGTGCAAGGCTGTGATCAGCGGCATGTATCCACTGGTCGCTTGGCAGCTCACACGTAAAAACAAGCAGCGCGATACAATCTACTGTATTGAGGGAGCCGCTCATGACTTTGGAACTGTGGTGACGTGGGCGCAATCCTGTGGCTTGTTCGAAACGCCCGCAGATACCGCAGATATTGCTCAATCTGTGCCAGACACAAATGATGTTTACTTTATGCCCGCATTTAGCGGCCTGGGCGTAAGTACAATGGATTATTATCTCCGGCAACTGCATTTTACTAATATTAAGTCCGTTACAGCCTCCTGTGAATGACTATCGGGCTGCTAGTGGCTTTATTGGCATGACACCGTCCACAACCAAAGCGCATCTGGTGCGGGCGCTTCTGGAGAGCATAGTTTTTCGTGTGGTGCAGCTAATCGAGAGCGCTGAGAAGGAAACGGGTCAGAAACTAAAAATAATCAAGTAAGACAAGATGTCTAGACATTAACTGCTATGGCTGACATTTGTTTCATTATCAGAGTGGACGGCGGTGTCTCGCGCAACGATTTTGTGTGCCAGTTTCTGGCCGATGCCAGCGGTCTATGCGTGGAACGCGCCGAGTGCTCCGAGTCCAGCATAATGGGCGCCACTTTTCTAGCTGGCCTTAATCATGGCATTTGGCACACACTCGATGATCTCAAGCGCTTTCGGCATGTAGAGCGCATTTTCAAACCACAACCAAAGCTTAACGAGATAATCGCCAGCCGCATGCAAAAGTGGAGCAGAGCCATTGAACGCTTTAGTGGCTGGTACTAGGACAGGATTACAGGTATTCTTTATAGTAAGGTTTTCAATTAATGCTTTCATTTGCAGTAGGGTATACAAATTGGGTGTGTTTTCTTTTCTTACATTATATAGTGTATTAAAGTTGTTACATTTTAAACTATAAATTATTGTAAATGGAAAAGGGCTTTGTGATATAGGTTTCCAAAGCGAAAAAGCCTTCAAGGAACTCACAAAGCGACAACATAGTTTTTCCACGGATTCCATTGGAAGGCTTCTGCAATTGGAAAACATTCAACAATAATGATTGGAGAAAATATTTCAGTCTCAGTTGAAGCGCTGCTGGAAACTTTGCTGTTGATTGAATATCATTTGTTGTTGCTGTTGTTGTTGCTGCTGCTGCTGTTGCTGGTGATGGAAATCCTGTTGGTTGCCAGCACCGGATAATCGAACACGTTTGGCGTTCGGCTCATTGGGATTCATTTGTTGTTGTTGTTGTTGCTGCTGCTGCTGCTGTTGTTGTTGCTGTTGCTGCTGTTGTTGTTGCTGCTGCTGCTGCTGTTGGCGCTTGTTGTCGGACTTGTCCTCTTGGTCGTCATCAGTGAGGAACTCACGCTTGGGATACGGTATGGGACAGCCCGCAAAAACGTCCTGTGTCGGCAGCGGTTCCTCTTGGAAATACTGATCCTGCATGGCTTGCTCGGAAGTTATGCGCTTGTTGGGATCCATCAGCAGCAACTTTTGCAGCAGATGAAATGCTTTGCTGTCGGGCTTGATTTTGTGCCGCTCCATGTACTTGGCCAGCGAGCAGGCGGAATATGTGGAGCGCTTAAAGTCCTTTGTGAGCGTGTGGTGCTCAGGCATCTTTTTGATGTCTTCCCAGTCTTTGTCCTGCGGAAAACCCATCACATTGAATATGCGATCCAGTTGATCGTGATGGTACGGATTGCTGGTCTTTATGTCCTCCTGGCGGCAGTGAAAGATTGGCTCAGATGTCAACAGCTCCGCAAAAATGCAACCAATCGCCCAAATATCGATGGCCTTGGTGTAATGGCGCGCGCCCAGCAAGAGCTCTGGTGCTCGATACCAAAATGTGACCACCACCGGATCCAAGTCTGCCAGCGGCTTTAAGGGAGCATTAAAGAGGCGCGCAAATCCCATATCGGCTATTTTGACACGCCCCCGCTCGTTGCCATCGCCCATGACAAGTATGTTGGCCGGCTTCAGATCGCGATGCAGCACCCAGTTGCTGTGCAGGTAATGTATGCCATCCAGAATCTGATACAGAAGACTCTTAACCATGCCCCGAGGCACGACCACCTGTTTCTTGGTGGCCTTGGCTGCACGATGGAATTTGATGATGTGCCACAGATCATGCTCCGCATAGTCAATCAGCAGAAACACCTTGCGGTCGTTGTGGGACAGAAACACTCGAATGAGCGTTATCACATTCTGATGCTTCAGCTCGCGCAGCAGCGCAATCTCACGGCAAGCGGACATAGAGAGACCGGTGCCGTCGATCTGCTTGAGCGCATACTCTTTGCCGTCGCTGCAAAAGTCAACAAATAAAATATACGACTGGCGGGGAGCAGCATAAATCGCTTACCTGGTCTCCTTCCATTTGGCCTTGTACACATGACCGTAGGTGCCGCGGCCGACCTTGCAGCCCTCGTAGTTAAACAGATCCTCCACCTTAGTTCGCTCCATTTGCGTTTTCATCTTAAAATCGTAATCCATTTTGCCGAAATACTTTGCATTTACCTTTGCCGCGTTCACAGCTGTTTACAAACAACATAAATTGCAATTTGATTAGAGATGTGCGATATTTACCTGACAGTTTCTCGTGTCAATAGTGACATTACCTGTTGGTATATTAACGTGACAAGCAGACTAATATAATGTTTACTTGAGAAAATACAACATATATTAGCGCACTACTTTGTAATTAAGCTCTTTAAAGTTACGTTCCAAATAGTTTAACAAATAATTCAACTGTAAGTGCGACTACAATATTGCAGCAACTATCGTTTGCACTTTCGATAGCAATTAAATATCGATAGGTCAGCTGTTATACGAAGCAACAGTCGATTATCTAGGTCATAATAAAGCAACGTGAGTCCAAATAAATTACCAACGCGCAACGTTTAAACCTTTATTTACACATAAAAAACGCCATGGCAAAGACAAAAAGAAATATACGTGCAAAGGCCAAAAGTGCCGTGGGAGTTGCCAAACAGAAGACCCAGGAAGTGCAGGCAAAACTAAATAAAGCAGTGCGCCAGGACAAATTGCTGCACAAGACCCTAACGCCAAAGAAGACAACAACCAAAAAGGAAAAGTCGGCACAGAAGCACACCAAATTACTGAAACGCTTT